ACTTTATTTTCCAGAAACTGAAGTAGGAAAGAATGTTTGGCTGTTTCCTGTTAAAGATGGAGAGTTAACTCCACATTTTGAGGACTGGCTCAAAAGTCCGGCAAGGTGGCTCAGTGGGTAAAGGCACTTGCCCTGCAAGCCTGGCAACCTGAGCTAGATCCCTGACCGCCACAGAAAGGCGGAAAAAGAGAACTGACTCCACAGTGTTGTCCTCTGACCTCTGTCTCTCTCTCTCTCTCTCTCTCTCTCTCTCTCTCTCTCTCTCTCTCTCTCTCTCTCTCTCACACACACACACACACACACACACACACACACACACACACACGCATGCACGCACGCACGCACACACTCGAGCACACCATGGGACATTCACTCCTCCCCCCATACACATACACTAGTAAAAATTTTCTTTTAGAAAATTCCTCTATAAAAACAACGGGAGTTTTCAAGGTTCTATTCACATTTTGTTCAAGTTTTCTCGTTGGGCTAGAAAAGAGCAGCTGAATACTTTTTTCATCTTCCGCTCTGAAACATTCCATTCATTCCGCCTTCAGTTGATGGGACTTCTGCCTTGCCTCAACTAATGAACCCTCAGTCAGCAGCTCACTTCTTTCTCCACCTGCAAAAAGTTTGGAAGGAAAAGAAAACACACACACACACACACACACACACACACACACACACACACACACAAGAAAAGAAACATCAACCACCCAGGGTACTAAGAGGTTTAATTGTTGCCTGGAAAGCAACACCCTTCCTCAGCTCTTTAAGACTGATTTCCATAATTACTTGCTGATTGAAACTGGGACATGCAGCCTGGCAACCACATTTCCATATTAATATTAAGCAATGACTAATGCAGCTCGGAACCCAGGGTCAGGATCAGAAAGCCTGGCCGAGGTGGAAACTAAAGCCATTTAACCCGTAGGGTAAATCTGCTACTTTTCTCTCCAGCAATTTTCCACTCGGTAAGCAGCATGAGATAAACTCACATTTGTTCCATGCCACTCACAAGGCAGGTGGTTGTCACCAGGTCATGGCACAGGCAAGACCTCCTTAGACCTGTTCCTTCTCTGCCACCTAGCCTACTTCTCTCTCTCTTCCTCTCTCCCCCCCCCCCCCCTCTCTCTCTCTCTCTCTCTCTCTCTCTCTCTCTCTCTCTGTGGCTTCCCTGCCTCTTCTACTGCTCGCTTCTGCTTCCCTCTCCGTCTGTGCCTCCTTTGCCTCTCTGTCTCTCCATCTCCATGTTTCTCTGTCTCCCTGCTATCTCTGTCTCCATCTCTGTGTGTCTCTCTGTCTCCCTGCTATCTCTCTGTGTCTGCATCTCTGTGTGTCTCCCTGCCATCTCTGTCTCCATCTCTATGTGTGTCTCTGCCTCACTATCTCTGTCCATTTCTGTGTGTGTCTCTCTCACTGCTATCTCTGTCTCTTTATCTCTGTATGTCTCCCCCTGTCGATGCCATCTCTGTCCATCTGTCTGTCGAAGCCCTTCCATCAGTCTGACAGCCCTTGTTGCCACAGCCTCCCTGCTTCACTAACTTGAGATCTCCTCTCAAGAGATCTCTCTACATTCACTTCTTGGTCCTCGCCACCCCACAGAGTCCAATCACTTCATCACCAAATCACCCAGCTTAGGGTAACTATTTTTCTTTTTCAGGCCTCGTAAATACAAAGCATCCAGCACTAATGTGTTTCACCAAGCTCCCACTTGGAATAAGAGAAAGTTGAGGGTGGGCAAGATGGCCTACCAATCTTAGTTCAGTCTCTAGAACTCACATAACAGGAGAAGAGACCCAACTTCCACAAGTTATCCTTAGACCCATACACACCTACACACCAGCACTGTGGCACCCGTGAGTAAACAAGGAAGCTCACGTGTACACACACACACACACACACACACTTAAAAAATAGCTAAGCATATGCAATAATTTTCATTGGGTATCAAATGACTTCTCCTGTATTTATCTAGAGCACAGTTCTATGTTGGACCATGATTCCCACACCACAGTTTCCTTAAAAAGTTTAAACATTAAGAAAACATCCAAGCTAGAATAATGATATCGTCTTGAGAGCTACTGTGGAATTCCCCTTGACAAGAGCCTCACCCTGCTTAGAAAATCTCTGAACAATGCAAAACAATGCCAACATGATGGGGCTTACAGTTTGCTCACACAAGCATGTTGTTGACAAGGATTAGAAATGAAGTTGGTGGCGAGCACAAATAAGATTTATAATTACATATTTCTAACTACGATTTATGGTTTATGATTTTATAAATGTTTTAGTTGAAATACTATAGAATAAGACTTATTTCATTCTTTCCTTCTTCACAAAGAAGATTCTGAGAGCTAATACATGTGCTTGAGATGGCCAGCCTTGTGGGAAATGCAGAATTACTCTGACCAGCCTTTTGGGAAATGTAGAATTACTCTATGTCCAGAACCCAATCCCCAAGTGGCTAACCACAAGGCAACAAACATTTACAATTGCAGGGGCTTGTGAGCTGTGTCGGGGTGAGAACTACCAAGGCATTTTTCAGACAAGCCTTCGAATATTTGGCTTATCAAATATAATTAGGATCTCTATGAGCAAAATGTTTTCATAAGACAACAAGTCCCTAGTTTTCTAGAAGCTACAAGGCTTTATTCAATTTTCCCTTTGGGAGCTAAAATTCTATTGTCAAAACTTTCTGTATATTTATTTGATAAAGTTGCATGCTGACATGCAACACTTCTAAAGAGTGTGTTCCTTTATGTACCACTTATTATCTCTGTTCATTCTCACACAGGGACCAAAAATAATTAAATCAGTACCCAACATTAAAGAGATAATTATTTTCTTATTTCCTGGACAAAATTTTCTCATGCATTATACATGTTTATTTTATCTGCTATTGCTCTAACACTTTATACCAAGTCTACAATATCAAAAAGTAGAATTCATCAGAAATAAAACTCTTTTGTCATTGTAATTAGAAAGATAAAGTTGTTGGGTTGTTGTAAAGGAATGTCAAAGTGATTGATAAGAATCACGGCTGATGAAACAGACACATTATTAAACCAGCACAAGAGCTGAGGTATACGAACATACCTCAAAGTGACCATCATTAATTGAAAAACATCCATTTACTAACAGATAAGAGATGAAAACGTAAGACAAAAAAAGTGTAGGTTCATAGGACAAGCAGGAAATGGAAGAGAAAAATTCTACAGAAAGTTGAACATTCTCGTGACAGTCATGAGTAATGAAGGAGATGCAGTGGTACAATGTAAGAAGATACAGAGGGCCAGCCCTGTCCAGAAAACAAACAATCAACCACACACAGAGCAAAATGGACAATCTAGGGGAGGCCTAAATTTGATTTCTAAAGAGATGGCCCACGAGCACTTATGGAGAGTGTGCAGATCGTCAGAAAGCACCATGCACTGGTAATAGTAATAGTCTACACTCCCTTCCTCTCTCAATGGGAAAAGGGTAAAACATGGGACAGTTTACCAGAAGTCCCTTTGAACCAGGGTCTAACCCTTCCCTAAGCTTTATCACCCACAGACTTTACTTCCCCATGGGGACCAATCCAAGCAAAATCTTCAGTAATCTAGACCACACCAAACACCTACCTGAATCTTTGAAGCCAGCTTCTATAGCTTGCCATATATGCTGCATTTATTTCTTTGTTCTCCATCAAAAATATAGATTCCTGTGTCTGTGGCCCAAGGACTCTTCTCTATCCCCCATCTCTGTGTGTGTTACTGTTTCTCCTCCAGGAGCTTCTTCTATTCCTGGCCTTACAAACTTTCTTACTGTCTCTGGAAACCTGAATCTAGGTGCATAAGCATCTTCTCAAAATACTGTTTCTAACTTTAGACTTCAGTTGTGATCTGGCTCTCTTAAAGAGAGATAGTTTCCATCTTCTCGTGATGGAAACTACTTCTTCCTTCCATCCTGAGATAAAGGAGGATTAGTTTGCTGCACTTAGCACAACTGGTAGCAATGGCTTTACAAGATAAAACGATGGGAGGCTTGTTTTTACTCTCTGAGAAGGAAGGCTTCGTGTCAGTTTGATGCACTAAATCTACTGATACCCTATTGGTCAGAAATCAGTCATGAGACCACATATAGATGCAGGCAGATTGAGAAATAGTCACATATTCATAGACAAGGCATCTGTGTATTGCCAATGAAGAACCAACACAGACATCAATGAACAGTCTCTGCCTCAGATATGACTTCTTAACCTCACATGTCTAGTGAATTCTCTGACTCACTGATACTTAGCCCATGGTTCTGTGACATTTCAAACCCTGTTGTCATTTTCTTTCTTTGTCAATCTTACACAACTGGAGTGCCAGACTTTTGTGGGTGTTAGGATTTGAACACAGATCCCCAAAGAGCAGTCAGTACTCTTAACCACTAAGTCATTTCCCCAGCTCCCTTGTTATAATTGTAGACACGCCTCACGTTTATATAGAAAGCCTACCTAATCAGCACTTTAACACTGCAATTGTGTCACTCGCTTCCTAAATCTCAAGGCTTTCTCCTCCATCCCAGATTCCCATTCCCCATCCACCTTCCTGACCCAGTCACATAGCAGACCTCCAGTTCCCTGCTTGCCACAGGTCTTCCAGCTTTGCTGGTCCTCACCCCCAGCCCCCAAATCAAGATAGCCCAGCTCACATAATTGTCTGCAGCACCCCAAATTCTCATGGAACCACAGCTCCTCAGCGAACCTCTATCCCAAATCAGTTGTTTCCAAAGCAGTGGCCCTCAAAGCTGGCCTACATCTCTCAGCCTTGGTCCTCCCATGCCACCCTCTCTTCTCTTAGCCCTTTTTCATAGCCCATAATGCCTGTGCGTTTAACTTGCCAAAGTAGTGCAGTGTGTCACAAACGTTCATTGGTTTATGAATGGAATGATGGACAGCATCATAAACGAATTGATGAAAAGAAGAATGTAAACTCCACTCGGTGTATTTTCATAGATCTGTGCATTTGTACCTTAAAAAAACAAAGGATGCTGCTTATGATGAATGTAAGTCCCCGGGAAAACCAAAGGCACAGCTCAGGACTCTACCCCTAAAAATGAAGAGAACATAATTGGATTGATTAAAAATAGTATAGAACTGAAGCTAAGGGTAAATGATTAGAACATTCTAGAAGCAATATCCAAAGCTCAATAGACCAGAATAATGTCCAAGTCTTTAACCTTTACATATATTAAGATACATTCTATATAATAATACATCATCATTTTAAATATTTATATATAATCTTTTAAATATTTATATAAAGTCTAGATATATAAACATATATTTAGTGTATATATAATCATGGTATTAAATATTTATATATAACATATTGTGTTACATATATATTTAATATGTATTTATTAATATATATTAAAATAAAGACAAAGGTTAAGTACTTCATTTTAGTTAAGTCCTTTACTTAGATTCTAAATTACAACAAAGAAAACACAGAATAAACAAAGTTATTCACATGAAAATATGTATAAGGTTCTACTTTATTGCAAAGCTCTAATCAAAAGTCCCCTAAAAGAACCCAGTGACAGAGAGGGAGAACTGATGAGCATAGGGATCAAGACTGGGCTGGTTTAAACCACAGAAACAGCTGACCTGAACAAGGGGGGAGCTCTTGAACCCCAGACTTATGGCTGGGAATTCAGCATGGGACTGATCCAGACTCCCTGAATGTGGGTGTCAGTAAGGAGGCCTAGGCAATCTATGGATCCTTGGGTCATAGATCGGTATTTATCCCTGGCATACAAATGAACTTTGGGTGCCCATCCCACTATGAGAGATGCTCTCTCAGCATGGACTCTTGGGGGAGGGCTAGGCCCTGCCCTGTATGAGATGACAGACTATGGAAACCCCCCCCATGGAGGGCCTCACCCTCACTGGGGAAAGGAGTGGAGATTGGGGGAGGGGGATGGGAGGGTTGGTGGGAGGGCATGAGAGGAGGGGAGGGAGAGGGAGCTGTGATTGACATGTGAAGCAACCTTGTTTCTAATTTAAATTTAAAAATAAAAAAAGACCAAAACAAGTCCCCTAAAAGGTAATGCCACTTCTACCTTAGTAGGCATAAGCCATCAAGAATGAAGTCTTCCTTTGTTGCATTCATAAGTACACATTAGTATACAAAATTTCAGCATTTCAGTGACCGAGCATGGGGCAAGATCCAATGGTGATTGTAAGTCACTATTGTTTTAATTAGTTCTGGTCCATTCAAAATACTATGAAAATGTGTGGGTTCCCTGCCACAAGTTAGAATCACCTGGGTAGGGAACCATAACTAAGAACTGTCCGGATTGCCTTAACTGATGTGGAGAGATACACCTGAGTGTGGGTGGTACCTTCCCTTGGCAGCCCGGGTTAAAGGGGTGTGTGTGGCAGCGGAGCCATCTCTTTTGGCAGGAGATTTGCACCATTCCCTTGTTTGGCCTGCCCACCTGTCATCCAGTTGACATAAGTGTCTGCTGCTGATTCCATCACTGATAACAGAACCGGTGTTTCCAGGCTTCTGTTACTAAGGACCAGCGGCTCTCCATGCACCCTCCAGGTTTTCAGTGTCAGACTGGGACTACCCAGTCTCTCATGGACCAAGCATCTACAGGATTCTGGGCCTCCACAGTGTGAGACAGCCACTGCTAGGCTCTCAGTGTTTCAGGTGTTAGACCAGAGCTGTTACTATTTTAACATAAGCTGATTCAATAAATTCTTCATGTAGATATAGAGGTATAAATAGATACGGATACAGACAGACATATTCATCCTATTGGTTCTATTCCTCTAGAAAACAGAATAGAAATATTAACAAAATTAACAAAGATGTTTTTCTGTTCTTAACATTCTGTGACTGTGACCTCTCAAGCCAAAAGAACAAGATCTAAAATGGAAGTGAAAAGTAAAGAGAGGCGTTATTTCCATGCACACCAATTCATTCTGCTATTTAATTCATTATGTCCCTCTCTGGCCAGTTGGAAATTATATCTAAACAGTTCTGAGAAAACCAGTTCACATGCCCAACACAATATAACTGCCTGTAAGTCTATGTGATGTTAATGGTGTGGACTCTGTCTATGCCTTTCATAGAGTGGTTCATATATTTTTGAACTTTAAGGTCTTTTAGAGGACATCACCCATTTTTTTGCCATTAATTCAGTATCTTGTGATGAGACAACATTCTTACCACACTAGAAACTACACACAGAAGGACCTACCGAATTTCCTGACCCCACCCATACAGACAATTCAGTACTGAACTGCAATTTCAGATTCTCCAAATAGGTTGTGTTCATTCTCATCACACACTCATAAGTGAATTTTGAGGAAAAAAAAAAGAAGAAGAATACAAGTTCAAGTGGCCAATGGTCCCATCCCAGCTCTGAAGAATAGATGTTTTGGATGCACTGACTGTGTCCCAAACCCTCACACATGCTGCACACCTCAGTTGCATTAGTGACCTTTCCATCGCTGGGATAATCAACTTGAAACAAGTGAAGCATAGTTTGGGCTCACCTCAAAGGCTTTAGCCCATGTCACTTTAGGCCCATGGAAGCATGGCACTCACATAAGAGTCTGGTATTTGTCTGGTATTTGCTGAGAAGCAAAAACAAGAGACAGGTCTAGGTTCTCCATGGCCCCCTTAAGGAGGTGCCTCCAGTGACCTGATCTTCTCCCACTGCCTAAGGTCCCACGTGTCCCAATGCTAATAGCTGAGCAATCTTTTAACATACAGGACTTCAAAATTCAAATTACAATATAAGTGATTTTGACTTCATAATAGATTTTAAATATTTCCTCCTAGACCAGTTGATGCTTTTTAAAAAACTGACAGGTACGAGACAAGTAAAACGGCACAATTAAAATTAATTTTAAAAAAACACAGGAAGTTTCGAACAGATGAAAGAAGTTATCAAGCTATCAGTAACTTATTTCCTTTATTTATTCAAAGTGAACACCTTCTATACATTGTCTACTACAAATAAATAGACTGTAATCATTACTCAGGAAAGCTATTAACACCAGATTGAACTTTTTTATTTTGTGAGATCATGGATTCACATCAAACACAAGAAGAAAGAAGTATGGAAGAAAGCATTACCAGATCAAAGAGCCTAGCTATGAGTTGGAGGGAGGATGGGCAATGCTTGGCATGCATATTCCTATCATCCCTGCAGAACCCATGGTTTATCCCAGCTCTTCCCACCACACCAGATGCAGCCTCACCGCCCTCAATGCACATGCCAACCAGCCCCTTCCAATTTGAATGAGAACCTATTAGCCAGCCCCAAGCTGGGCTCATAATAGATTTCTACACAACAGAAGGTTAACTAATTGCCTGGAGTGTTCTGTTTCCTTTGTTTGTTGTACTACATGCCAAATGGCTCTTGGTTCAGAAACAACAATCATAGAATTTGGAGTAATGTAAACAAATGCACTTCTAAGACAACAGTGCAATACTACGCACATTACATGCTTGCATTTATCCTCCAATTCCTACTCCATCAGGCATTAAATATTATCTCTGTTTTAGAGGAGGAAAAAAAACATGAGTCTTCAAGAATTTGAATAACTCCTTAGAAAGATTCTCAGAAAATACTTGGTAGCTCTGCCCAGTCCTTGTTGCAGAAGCTATGTTCTTAGATGATATAATAAACTGTCCTCCTCTATAAAATGACTTTCCTTCAATGAGAGAATTTTGAAAACTTCTTTTGTCCTGTTGTCTCTACTCTAACATAGTTAATCACCATCGTGAAAATTCCCTAAACTGTCAATGACTTACCACTGTAACCTTTGCCCTCGGTCCCAATGTAAAGGCTGTAATATTTTATTTAAATTCTGTAAAATATTTTTGTATATAACTAAGAGAATTTCTTCCCCTAGGTTTCCTGGGCAACCGTAGGCCACTCTGGTCAACAAAGCAAGTAGTTCATCTCCTCTCTGACCATTCCTCCAAGCCCAACTCCCCAGTCTCATCCGCAGCTCTGCAGCAGATCACCTGCTGTAGCCTCTCCTCACTTTCTGCCCCCATTCCCAGGGGGACTAAGCAAATCTTGGTGGCACACCCTGATTTCCTCTCTCCTGTGGGCACACTTACCCCTCCCCCAGCTCATCTTCTTTCCAAAGTGTCAGATCCCAACACCTCAAAACACATTTTACCTGGAAATCCCAGTGGTTGCACCTATCAGGATCCCAGAAGAATATCCTACCAGGCAAAACACAGCCACTACACCCTCCTAAGTACCAGAGAGGGCAACAGAAACCAAGGAACAAACACCTATTCAACAAAGACAAGATAAGATATCAGCACCTAGAATTACAATCTTCCCAAACCCAGGTCAGAATCCTAAATGCCCATGTAAAAAGCACAATCAATAATAGTCAGGACAATATGACTCCATCAGAGCCCAGAAACCCTACCACAGAAGACATTGAGTATTGCAATATGGCTGAAACAGCCTTTATCAATATGATAGAGATGCTTAAAGAGAAGATGAACAAATGCCCTTTAAAAAAAACTATGAAAACACAGTGAAAGGAAATGAATAAAACCATTTAAGACCTGAAAATAGAAATAGAATCAACAAAGAAAACCCAAACTGAGGGAAATGTGAAAATGAAAAATTTAGGAACTTGATTGAGCAGGAACCTCAGAGGCAAGCCTCACCAACAGAATACAAGAGATGGAAGAGAGAATCTCAAGCACTGAAGGCATGATAGATGAAATGGATACCTCAATCAAGAAAATGTTAAATCTAAAATATCCTGGCATGAAACATCCAGGAAATTTGGGACACTATTAAAAGACCAAATCTATTAAAAATAGGGATAGAGGAAGAAGAAGAAATCCAGACCAAAGGCACAGAAAACACTTTCAACATAATCATAGAAGAAAATGTTCATACCCTAATGAAGGAGTCCCTTTCAAGATACAAGAAGCCTATAGAATACCAGATAGACTGAATAAGAAAAAAATCCCCAAGGTACATAATAATCAAGACACTAAATGTACAGAGGAAAGAAAGAATATTAAAAACTACATGGAAAAAAGAC